CGGCCCTCGCCCCCTGCCCCGGGACCGCCAGCGCGGCGTTAAGCCTGGCAGGGGCCGCTGAGGTGAAAGGGGACCGCGTTTCCTCTGTGCTGACCGCTTTCTCGCCTAATTCGTAAGGTGCTGAGGCACGAGGAGTTCGAGGAGGGCTGCAAAGCCAGCTGCAACGGGTGAGTGCCCCTGCGCCCCCTCCCCGGTCCTCTGCTTCTCATAAAGCACCTGCCGGCCACGGCCAGCCACGCGTTGTCATTTTATAGGTAAAATAGGGGATGGGTGGGTTGGTTTTTAAAGCAGTTCCCTTGGAATCAACAGTTCTGCTTTTTGTGTAGGTGTGGTGTTTACACTGGAACACAAGTATTGCTGTATTACACCTGTAGACAGGTGTCTACACCTACAAGACCGATACTGAACTTTGTAAAATTATTTCTAAACTTTCCTGGAATTGCGTTCAGTTACGTTGGTTTTTTACAGGCACGGGGCTATCTAGGGTCTTGAGTTAAAAATCCCTCCTGGTAGCTCCAAAGGCTTTTGTCTGTCTTCACAAATGAAAGAAGTCGTACAACCTGGCGCCTAACCGCTTACTTTTCCTACTTCGCAATAAGGAAGCGCTCATATAATTCCAGCTGATGGGCAGCTTGTGCTCTTAAAATGTGAGTTGTTAAAGAAGGAGGTAGAATCGTTTTCGTCGCGTGGTCACGAATGAGAGCCCAAGGTCAAAACTAGTGACCGGGGGGATGCCCGCCTGCTCTGTGCTGAGGTGCAATGAAAATTCTTCACAGAAGAATTCCCACTTGGTGGGAGGTTACTGGATTACCTGTGCCATTTGTTTACTCTAGAAATGCAGCTCTTCCTTGAAACACTAGCACTTGCAGTTCTTGGTGTTTATTTCTAATACTCATGACAATTAAATATGGATGTTTCAGCCCTTATGATGGAAAATGGAGCAAGACGATGGTGGGCTACGGGCCAGAAGACAATCACTTTGTTGCAGAACTGACTTACAATTACGGTATTGGAGAATATCGCCTGGGTAATGACTTTCTGGTAAGTACCACACGTAGCAGCAAAGTCTTTCTTCTTACGATAAGCTTTTTTTACTTTTACGATTAGGAGTCTGTTTGGTGTGTAGGTGGTACCAGTTGCTTTTTTATGCTGTTTGGTCCCTTAGACACTTTTTATTCTTGCTTTTGTAGTTG